TCACCTGACTCCCTGGGCCACTGCCCGTGCTCTGGGCCATGTTTGCATTTCGTATAATTCCGTCTCGTTTGCATTTTGTCACAAGTGTGTATTACGCTGGCGATTCTAAAAAGTCATATATGTATAAAAAAATCTTAGATGCATGAATGTTTCTTCCTAGCTCCGCTGAGAGAGGCAATAGCTCATGAAAACATATTCTGGGAGGGAACTCAGAGTCCTTAAATTTCCACGCAGTGAGCACACTGGGCCCGCAGACAGACCCTCTCTGCACACCCACTGGTCAGCGCCAGTTCAGCAATAAAGGGAAGGAAGTGTAGGTGGAGCCCTCCGTGGCCCACACCTACGCTTCTCCCTGCCTTTCACCTTCTCCAGAAGAAGCTACTTGAGACCCTCAGAAGCTGACCACACCTGGCGTGGCTCTGAGTGCTTGACCTGGGAGAGAGGCAGAAAAAGAGGAACTTCGGGGAACTTTTCTGGAAGGTTTCCAGCTTCTTCATCAACTGGGGATTGTTCGGAAACTATTTTGGCCCAGCAGGGGCTACCAGGTACCACCACCAAGTACAGTCCTAGAATAAAAATCCCATCCTTATCTTTTTTCTCCTAAATTAAATGAATTGGATGCATCCAGAGGTGATACTTTTCACAAGCATGGCTAGAGATAAACACAGGAAAACAGAACAAGATCACGCCTCCCTCTGGCCCCACCCTCTTCCCAACTCCGTGGGGTGCACTTCTGTCTACCTGTGGAGCAGGTCAGGCTGGAACTGGTTTTTGTTAAGGGCAGCACTGTTTCTCATTATAGAAAATTTGGAGCTATGGGTCTTTTAAAAATGACAATTACGTAAATTGGTACAGCTACCATGGAAAATAGTATAGAGGTTTCTCAGGAAACTAAAAACAGAACTACCATAGGACCCAGCAATTCTACTCCTGGGTATTTATCCAAAAAAGAAAAGCAAAAAACCCCCCAAAAAACCCTAATTCTAAAAGATGCATGCACCCTATGTTCATAGCAGCACTATTTACAATAACCAAGACATGTGGTTTATATATTCAATGGAATACTACTAAGCCATAAAAAAGAATGAAATGACATTTGTAGCAACGTGGATGGACCTAAAGATTATCATACTAAGGCAGAAAGAAAAAGACAAATACCATATGATATCACTTACACGTGGAATCTAAAATATGACACAAATGAACCTATCTACAAAACAGAAACAAACTCACAGACAGAGAGAACAGACTTGTGGTTGCCAAGGTGGGGGGGAGGGAGAGGGATGGACTGGGAGTTTGGGGTTGGTAGATGCAAACTATTATATTTAGAATGGAGAACAAGGTCCTACTATATAACACAGAGAACTACATCCAATCTCCTGGGATAAACCATAATGGGAAAGAATATTTAAAAAACGAATGTAGGTATGTGTGTAACTGAGTCACTTTACTGTACAGCAGAGATTGCTGCAACTTTGTAAATCAACTCTACTTCAATTAAAAAAAACTAAAAACAGAACTACCATATGACCCAACAATTCCACTCCTGGGTATTTATCCAAAAGAAAAAAAACCCTAATTCGAAAAGATACAAGCACCGCTATGTTCAGAGCAGCTCTATTTACAATAGCCAAGATATGGAAGCAACCTAAATGTCCATCGACAGAGGAATGGATAGAGAAGATGTGGTCCATATGGACAATGGAATATTACTCAGCCATTAAAAACGAATGAAATTTTGCCATTGGCAGCGACATGGATGGGCATGGAGGGCATTATGCTTAGTGAAATAAGTCAGACAAAGAAAGAAAAATACTGTGTGATATCACTTATATGTGGAATCTGAAAACTACAACAAACTAGTAAATGTAACAAAAAAGAAGCAGACGCACAGATACCGAGAACAAGCTCGTGATTACTAGTGGGGAGGGGTATGCGGGGAGGGGCAATATGGGTAGGGGATTAAGAGGTACAAACTATTAGGTATCAAACAAACTATAAGGATACATTGTACAATATGGGGAATACTTTATAATAGCCAAAATGTTATAATAACTACCAATGGTGTATAACCTTTAAAAAGTGTGAATCACTACATTGTGCGCCTGTAACTTACATAATATTGTACAGCAACTATACTTCAATTTTTTAAAAAAAATTTTAATTCAAAAAAGGAAAAAATGGCATTATGGGAAAAGGCGTTTTCACAGCTTGCAATAGGCTTTCGTTTTAAGACAGCTGAGGGCTTCAGGGGACGTGTGAAGGCCTCCAGGCTGTGCTCTGGTCCCTGCTCTGCCTCTCACCGGATGTGAGACTTTTTTCTAACAGCTTTGTTGAGGGATAACTGACATACACTAAACTGCATGGATCTGAAGTGCACACTTTGATGAGTTTCGATACATGTATACCCCCGTGAAACTACACCCACGGTCAAGACGGGGAGCACATCTGTTACCCCCTGAAGTTTCCTTATGCCCTTTGTGATCCCTCCCCCGCGCTGTCCCCAGGCAACCCCCGACCTGCTTTCTGTCGCCCTGAATTAGTGGGAGGGGTGAATCTGATCAAGTTACCTAATCTCTCCAAGTCTCTACTTTCTCAGTAGTAATAAGAGAGAGCCCGACTTGATGAATTCAAAATTCCCTTCCACTTTGAAAGTCACATGACTTTAATAAGTGAACGTAAAAGCGCAGGCTCAGCGACCATGGCTCACGGGCCCAGCGGGATCCTCCCGGACCGAGACACGAACCCGTGTCCCCCACATCGTCAAGCAGACTCAGAACCGCTGCGCCACCAGGGAAGCCCTAACAAACTGGGATTTAGCGCTCCCTACAAAGCGAGGCCTCTCTGGACTTAGACCAGCCACCCCAAAACGGGATTCCACGTGGCAGACATTCAAAAGAGCCGAAGAGCTGGGTGCCACCATGGACGTGCCCCCAACCATTCCTGCCACACGTGATCGGGAGGGTTGGGGGAGAGAGGCGAGAGGGACCCACCTTAGGAGAAGAGACCCCAAGAAAATGTATTACTTGGTGCACCCCATCTGTATCAATCGTACTGAAATCCTTCTCTTCTGTCAAACATGCCCATCCCGCGAAGGATTTTTAAACCCAAAGCGTGCCAGCGAGGGTCCTCTACTGATGCTCAGGTGCTCCCCCTGCCGGTGGGGTGGCTCAGCCTCCAAAACCCTGGGTTCCCAGCCCCTCGTCCTGCCCCCAGCAGCCACCTCTGTCCACGGAGAGCAAGTGTCTTTCTTAGGGCTTTCCAAAGCAAGGGATTTTCCAAAGTTCCTGCACATTCTGCTCTTTCCCTTGGTTTCCCCAGAACAGCAATGTCTGAAAGGGTACAGGAGGATGAATGCTACAGGAGATGCCAGGGAAATAAAAATATTAGCCCATGCAAGAATTTTCTTCTAAGACTATACTTTCAGGGATCATTTTTATAGTTCGTTACTACAGAAGTTTCTCTGAAAGAGATATGGGAATATATGTATAACTGATTTCACTTTGTTATAAAGCAGAAACTAACACACCATTGTAAAGCAATTATACTCCAATAAAGATGTTAAAAAAAAAAAAAAAAGAATTTTCTTCTGACATCCATTGCTTCCACATCACCCAGATGCTGCATTTGAAGATCAACTTCACCCATGCTCTTGGCTCCTATGTGTGGGTCTAATACTGCTCTCTCTTCTCTCTCTCTCCTCTTTCTAGGTAGGTAGGTAGATAGATGATACATAGATAGATAGATAGATAGATAGATAGATAGATAGATAGATAGATAGGTAGATAGATAATGTCTGGTTACATCACCTGAACCTTAGAAAAGCCAGTCCTGCTCTTTCCCTTTCCCTCTTTATGTTTGGTACACAGCCCTCCTGGGGTCAAACTCAAGTCACTTTACAGACAACCAAATTTGGTGTTTTGTAAAAAGTGCAAACCTTTAGGGGAGGAAGGAGTGACTGCTAATGAGTATGGAGTTGCTTCTTGGGGATAATCAAAATGTTCTGGAATTAGACAGTGGTGATGGTTGCACGACCTTGTGAATAGACTAAAAGGACTGAACTGTACACTTGAAAACGGTGAACTGTAATGGTATGGGAATTATACCTCAATTTTTTAAAGCGCAAGCTCAGAGAAATAATTTTCCCCAGGTTTTGCTATTATGAGGCCCCCTCTCTTTCTCAAAAATCTTCAGCGGCTCCCTATCGCCTCCCTAATAAAATTAATTCTCTCCCAGTCTGGCCCGATCTGAACTGTCACCTGCAGTGTCACTGCCCCTCAACATGGAGTTTCTTTCTCTCGCCAGCCTTGAAGTCTGCTTTTTCACCAGCCTGTGGTGGATTTTCTCCCCCCAGGTCTTTCCCACCAGGTGTTCTGCTGACACCTCCCTCCTCCCCATTCCTTCACCACTGAGTTGGTGCCATTCCCGTGGCACTTTTTCACGCACAAATTTGGGTGGGACATCATTGGTGAACATCTTACATCCCCTGCTGATCGATGAGTTTCACCAAGAATAAGGTCAGCCAGCAGCTTGTGAGCAGCGGTCTCTGGGTTTGGGTTTTGGTTCTGGCGGGGGTAGACCTGACTGTGGCACTGCCAATTTCTGAGGTGTAAATACTCCTGTTAAGGTGACATCAGTGACCACAGAATCACTGGACGGGAGGTGAAGATGCTTCTGTATCTGTTGGATTCATTTTGCAGCACCAAAAACTGCTAAGGATTAGCAAAACCTGAACTGGAGCATCATTACATAAAGACTGAGCAGAAAACTTTATGGCAACCAGGGGCTTCCCTGGTGGTGCAGTGGTTGAGAGTCCGCCTGCCGGTGCAGGGGACACGGGTTTGTGCCCTGGTCCGGGAAGACCCCACATGCCGCGGAGCGGCTGGGCCCGTGAGCCATGGCCACTGAGCCTGCGCATCCGGAACCTGTGCTCTGCAACAGGAGAGGCCACAACAGTGAGAGGCCCGCCTACCGAAAAAAGAAAAAAAAAAAAAAAACCACCACCACCAACAAAAAAACTTTATAGCAACTAGAACTGTTCCAGAAACTTCAGAGGTGATCTCATGGACCAGGGAACGGGGAGTCATTGGAATATTCGCAGCTTAAGAGGCCATGGTCTAGGATGTTGTAGACAAGACCTACACTACACTCAATGGTTGCATCTCTTCCAACTCTGAGAATTATTGAGTCTCAGATGGGTGTGGTTCCAAGGCAGTCTTGTATGGCTGGTATCACTCAACCAATATCACCTTCAGAGGCTGGGCAACCACCCCTTAGAAAGGGTTTTCTGGCTGCCCCGATCCACCTCTTCCATGCACCTCAGGAAGCCTGCCCTTTTAAGCACACTCTTCACTCTGCATCGTATGTGTGAAGTTTTGCACACGAACGTTGGGCTTGCAGGGTGGTATCTGATATCTTGCGGGTAGATTTGATTTCCTTGAAGGCGGTGGTTATTTCGCCTGCCAGTCGCCAAGGGAAGAAATAGGTTCTAAGGCAGAAAAAAAGAAGCAGGAATTCAGAAAGTCAGTCTTGGGTACCAGTCTATTGCTGGAACTCACCTGCCCACCATAAGAGAGCAAGTCCAGGGCCAGGAAGAAATGGAGTCTGCAATCTCCAGGGATCACACCTCTTTAGTTAAGAAAACTGTTCTAGTTTCATGTGGTTTTTGCCATTTCCCTTTTGTTTCTCCTCTAGCGTTCATGACATTTTCACTCCTTGTTCCAGCATTCTCTGCTCTGTGTCAGGGAGTATTCAGTTTTGTTCAACCAACCTTGACTGAGCACCGTTTCTGGGCTGGGAACCATGTCAAGCACCCGTGGTATAAAGGTGAATAAGACACGGTCCTGCCTTGAAGATGTCTCGGGTAGAAAAGAAAGACATAAAATATAATTCTGGGATAGTGCAGTGGATGGTGTGGGAGGATGTGGAAGGCAAAAAAGAAAAGGAAAGAACAGAAAGGTGGTAAGAGCCTGCTCAGATAAATCATAATGGTTTCGCGTAACAGGCCTTCGTGTACCTGCCCATTCACTGAGGGCTCGCAACAACCTAGGAGTAGCTGTCTATTATTAAGACCCCCAGGCAACAAATGGGTAAAGAGAGGGGAAAGGCGGGGAGGGAGATAAATTAAGAGATTGGGATTAACATGCACACACTACCGTATATAAAATAGATAAGCAACAAGGACCTACTGTATAGCACAGGGAACACTACTCAATACGCTGTAATAACCTATATGGGAAAAGAATCTGAAAAAGAATAGAGGTACATATATGACTCACTTGTAAGTCAACTCTACTCCAATATAAAATTTAAAAAAATATTTTTAAATGAGTAAAGAGAAAAAATAACAAGCTGAAGTTTTTGCCCCTATTAAGAGCAGAGCCAGGACTGGGACCCAGGCAGCCCGGCCTCTGACTTCACACCTCACCTCCATGTGATGCCAGGGTCCTCGGATCGGCCAGGAACTGCGTCCTGTGCCCGCCTCAGTCGTGCACTGAGAGCTAGCTGGTTTCCCACAGAAAAGTCATGGTGTTAAAACCAGAAACAGAGAAAACTGGGTGCTGGGCAAGCAAAATCAACAGCTGTCCATGGTAGAGTCGCTTCAGAAATGCAGCTTTTCCCCTCTCGGATTGTTGGCCTGGGATGAGTTTTCCACAGATGGTTATCTCATGTGTCAGAGTCTGAACTTACTTCTTCGATGGCTTCTGACACAGAGCGCCAAGCAGTCTTTCAGCAGGATTGCATATTTACATTCTGTTTGCCCAGAATGAACTAATTTCACCACGCCCTTGTTTGTGTTGGGTGCTATTACGTTTCTTATACCTAGACAATTCTAATTTTTCCTAGATTCTGTATTTCTACGTGCATAGTTTTCCCTTTTTAGACCAGAAAATCCAAATAAGAGGGTACTATCTCAAAGTTGTTAAGGTGACCCTCTGAATCCACAGGTGAGCCAGAAGGGGCCCCGGTGGGAGGGAAGGACAGGTGTGCCCGTTCATCCCTGCCGTTTTAGAGGTGAAGAGGGCTACGTTTGGGAGAAGAAAACAAGAGCCGCAGGTCCAGCACCCAGGCTGGGGTTCACGTTCAAAAGGCACTTCAGTGTAAAACCTTTTTTAAAAAAAATTATTTAGCGTCATTTCAGCTGTGCGATTGCATAAAAGCTAGACTTCACGTCATTAAAAAACGGATGTGCGCCTGCACTGGTAAAAAAACCGGCTAGAAAACTGATGGGGAGTTTGGGGGTACCCTACTGTGTTCCTGCATCTCCATTTTTAAACATCGTGATAAGGGGAATTTCCGCCGCTCTGCTAGCAGTGCTTCCAGGTGCGCACAGACACGAAAGGGCAGGCAAGGGTTCCGCGGTCCCCAGCGCCACCTCCCTTCCCGCAGAGGGGCCGGGCTCGGCCCAGACCATAGAGGCGCGGATACCTCCAAAGTCCTAGGGAGGAAGCGCAGGCTCCCGGAGGCGGACTTCCGCCGGCGGCCATTCCCGGCCCCGCCCCTCCGGGCCCGGGTGCCAGCTGGGTGTGGGTTTCCTACGGGGAGCTGGTGGGGGGCGCGGACCCCGGAAGTTTGGGGCCCCTTCCCCGAAGTGGGGGATCGGGGTCGGCCCCTCGAACCCCCAGCGATGTGGACTTGTTTCCTCGTTATAACTCCTCGAGCCGTGGTGAAACCCGCCCTAAAAATACGTGATTTAGGCTTGTCTTGGTGTATCTGAGAGAACGACCGGCTGCCTGTGTGAAAAACAGCCAAGTAGCTAAAACAAAGAAGCGTGTCTTCGTGTTTCGTCGTGTGCAGATGCGGGGGGAGGACTTGGGGCGCATGACTTGGCCCTGCGCCCTGGAAGGATTGGGGCGCCGGGGGACAAGGCGGCCCGGAAGGTCGGCACGGCCTCCCCCGGGCGGGGGGCGGGGTGGGTGAGGCTCAGAACCGAGCTCTCGCCCGGAAGTGGGCCTGGCGGTTAGACCCCTGCGGAGCACTGGCCGCGGTTCTTCCTCTTCGGGACCGCGCTCTTTACAGGTGCTGACTGCCTAGACTTTTTGACTTCAATGTCCTCGATTTTAAAGTGAGGATGGTATCGGCCATCCTGTTCTACTGTGGGATCCTGTCCTGCAGGGGGGGGATCCTGTCCTACTACGGATCATCTTATGCTACTGTGTGTGATCCTGTCCTACTGGGTGGGATCCCCATCCTACTGTGTGATCCTGTCCTGCCATATGTGATCCTGTCCTACTGTGTGTGATCCTGTCCTACTGTGTGTGATCCTGTCCTACTGTGTGTGACTGTACTGTGGCATATGTTCTTTAGTGAACCGGATTTACCTTCTCTGACACTAAGATCGTGTTGGGGGAATGTTTCATAGAAAGAAACTTTCACCGCAGTGTGTTCCTGAGGGGAAAATAAAAGATGGACAAGTTTGGGATTTGAACTGCGGTCTCTTGCCACAGTTACTGATAGAATATTAAATTGTTCTGAGAAGCTTTGCAGTAATGGAACTCACCTAACTCTGTTTAGGCGGGCGTTTCTCCAGCATCTGACCACAGAAACTTGAGTAACACCCTATTAATATCTCCCCAACGCGGTTTTGACCAGAACACATTTTTGGGAGACGCTGACGTAAATCATTCGCGTGAGCACAGACCTGTGCAACAGTCACTCTCACTTCTCAAAAGACATTTCAGAACTTTCTGAAAATCACCTGACTGGATTTCAGTAAGGATAGTTTCAGTTTTACAGACATTGGAGAAATTGGTCCATAAATAATGAAGTACTACAAGCTGTTAACATTTGGAAAAGGAAGTGAACCTTCCTCACCCTTCCTCCTTCGTACATCATGGACAGTAAATAACATCTTAACATCACTGCGCCAGTATTATCAGCGTATTGTCAGCATATTACTCATAAAGCAATAGGAATAATTACTTTGAAAAACACAGATCGTTCCAAGTGGAAATTCTACAATTTAGGGCTTCTGAATGACATTGGACATTTGTTGAAGGACCTACTTTAGTAAAACATGATTAACATTTCCTGCTATAAATAGAATGCAGCTAAGAAACGCTTAAGTATGTTGTATGTATATATGAAGTGACGTTCACGCGAAACCTGCCCTAATATTATAGAATAAAATTGAGTACAGGGACTGTCTTCAGCTTTATTCACGATGACTGAGCTGCTGATTCATGTGTTTGGTGCAAACCTCTATCAAGGGGAGCTTTGAAGTGACTTGGAAGTTTAGTATGTTACTAAACCTGCAGTTTCAAGCAGGACCTGCCTAAGGATGACAGTAACAAGACATTACAGTGTCCTTGTTCCAGTGTCTGGTCCTCCATCCTGTTGGGCCAGAAACCTACACGGTTCGCACAGAGATAACCAGGCTCCAGAGGACACACTAATGCTAACCAAACTCAAAAGGGACCAATGTATAAACCCGGAGTGTTAGGTAATTCCTTTCTAGTGAAAAATGTAACTATCAGGCAGCTGGCAAACTTTATTCACCAACAGTGTGTTCCTTCTTGAAAGAAGATCTACATGGGAGTCCAGATTCATATACTATGGGTATATCACACAGGAGACACATGGCATGGAATCAGAACCAGAATGATACCCAAGTTTAATGGCATTGGGTGTCTTCACCCTACCGATGTACCTGTCAGGTTAGCTAGATCTTCCTTTTCCTGGGTAAAAGCACTCTCATCCATGGTGCTAGAGACAAGATAAACCATTTTATCTCTTTGAACATCTCTTTCAGAGATGCTCGCCCCATATTCTTTCTCGAGCTGGAGTACAATGCAACTGACTTGGTTCAATCTTTTCTGTTTACAGCCGCCATCCAGCTGGACCTCCGTGAAGTTGCACCCGGGGCAGAAAGATAGGCTACTGAGTGGTCACACAGAGACTTTCCTCCCTGGGGGCAGAGGAAGCCAGAAGTTTGCTTGGGAGACCCTGTCTCTGTCTGCCTGAAGCACAGGTGAACTGGATTGTGGAGGGCACCTTGACAAGAAGCAAGGTCACAGCTGGGGCAGTCAGGGAGGTCTGGTGGAGAGGGCCACATAGTGCAAAGTCACACAGGTTTCTTCAGGAAGCCATCTGCTTGAACAGTGAGTAACGTGTGCCTGCGATGCAAAATTCTGCTTCTTTAAACAGAATTTAATGATTTAAAGTATATGCACCACATTCTGTCCGTGAAAATCATGGTTGTGAAAACATGTTCGAAAGATCTGTATACGTTGTCTTTTCTAAGTGAATATTATATTTCGATTAAAATATACGTACATATAACATGCTAATCAAAATGCGTTTTACTGAGCTCTCCCTCACCTTCAATCTGTTGATATATTCTCAATTGATGTTTTTCAGGCCCTTGACCTTCACCCCATAAGAGGCATTACAGTGTTCCCCAATTTTATGATTGAGAACGGTCTGAATAGGGAAGGGGCATAAGAGAAAGGCCAAATATAATTTTTCTGCTAATTAATTTCATAGAACAACCAGCAAAGATTTTAAAAATAATTTCCTGGTCACAACAGGCAAGAGAGAATTCATTGTCAATAGGTATGCAGAATGAAAATGAATCATCCTTGGGACTTCCCTGCTGGCACAGTGGTTAAGAATCTGCCTACCGACGCAGGGGACACAGGTTCGATCCCTGGTCCGGGAAGATCCCACATGCTGTGGAGCAACTAAGCCCATGCGCCACAACTATTGAGCCTGCGTGCTGCAACTACTGAGCCTGCGCGCCTAGAGCCCCTGCTCCGCAACAAGAGAAGCCACCACAATGAGAAGCCCGTGCACCACAACGAAGAGTAGCCCCCGTTCACCGCAACTAGAGAAAGTCCGCGCGTAGCAACGAAGACCCAACACAGCCAAAAATAAATAAAATCATTAAAAAAAAAAAAAAAAAGAATCATCCTAGTCAGAAACATGGAAATGCAGGAAGGAATGAAAAATACCAGAAAGGATAAAAATATGGGGAATTAGTAATAAATATTAAATGTCAACCCAACAATTATCATGTCTTGTGGAGTTAAATTTATGTGTAGAACTAAAAATGTATGAAACAACACAAAAAGAGGAAAGGGAGAAACTTTTAGGAAAGGTAAAGTTGTCTAAGGTTCTAGCAGTACTGGGAAACTGGTAAAAGTAATAAATTGTATTAGACAGAAATAAGACAAGATTACATATTGTCTAATCTCTAGGATAACAACTAAAAGAAAATAATATATAATAACAGAACATATAACCTATAAGTTTGGGGTGGGGAATAGAGTAAGAGATAATATTGTATTAATCCACAAGAAGGCAAGAAAAAAGAAAAATGGAACATAAAACAGATTAGCCAAATAGAAAAAAAAATAGAAAGTAGGAATAAATCCAACTATATCAGCAGTTACTTTATATGTAAACGGACTAAATAATACAAGAAAAAGACTAAGATTGTCAGATGGGATAAAGAAAAAGAAAACATGTAACTTCTAAGAGAGACACTTTAAATATACAGAGACAGAATGATTAAAGTAGAAGGATGGGAAAAGACAGATTACACAAACCCTAGCAAAAAGAAATCAAGTGTATCTATACCAGTATCAAATAAGACTTTAAGGCAAGAAGCATTACTAGAACTAAAGAAATATCATAATGGGTCAATCCAACAAGAAGATAACAAGTCACAAATCTGTACATATTCAATGACATAACTTCAAAATACATACAGCAAAAATTAAACAAAGAAGAGACAAATCCACAATCATAGCAAAAAACTAACACACTTTCCTCAATAGCTTATACAACCAGCAGATAAAAGACCAATCAGGATATAGAAGATAAAACACACAATTAACAAACTTGACCTGGTGGCTATATGTAGAATTCTGTACTCAACAATGACAGAATTTACATTTTTAAGTGTAAGTGAAACATATACCAGAATTGACCATATAGTGAATTATAAAGAAAGCCTCAACCAATTTCAAAACATTGAAATCATTCAGAGAATGTTATTTGACCACAGTGGAATTAAGCTTAGAAATCAGTAATAAAAAGATTATATGCATTGTTTGGAAATTTTAAAATATATTCCTAAATAATTCATAAACTAAAGAAAACCCCCAGATATTAGAACATATTTTTAATTGAATGATAATAAAGACATAACTTATATAAAAACTCACAGGATTCAGCTAATGCAGGGCACAGAGAGAAACTTATAACCTTAAAAATGTACACATTAGAGGGACTTCCCTGGTGGCGCAGTGGATAAGACTCCACACTCCCAATGTAGGGGCCCAGGTTCCACCCCTGGTCAGGAAACTAGATCTCACACGCATGCCGCAACTAAGAGTTCACATGGCACGACTAAGGAGCCCAAGAGCCGCAACTAAGACCTGGTGCGACCAAATAAATATTTAAAAAAAAAAAAAAAAGAATTCATTGGAAGAAAGACATCCAAAAAAAATGTACACGTTAGAAAAATGGTAGGCTGGAAATCAGTGATTTATTCTTCTATTTCAAGAATGTATTAAAAGAACAGCAAATTAAATATAAGGAAAATAGAAGAAAGTAAATGAGAAAGATGATAAACAGTGAAGTAGAACACAAATATACAACGGAGAAAATCAACAAAATCACAAGCTGGCTCTTTGAAAATATCGTTAAATGGTAAACTAACAATACTGTCCTACAAAAACAAAACAAATTCCCAATATTAGAAATGAAAAAGAATGTCCCTACAGAGCCTACAGACATCACAAGGATTAATAAACATATTATTTTTTAAACTTCACACTAAAATTTTGAAATTTCAGACGAAATGGAAAATTTTCTTGAAAAATGCAGCTTTCCAAAGCCCACTGAAGAAAACGAACATTTTAATATCTAATATCTAATAAATAAATTGAAGTTATTCAAGAACTTCCCACAAAGAAAACTCCAAGCGTACATGGCTTCACCAGTTAGTTCTCGCAAATATTTAAATAACACGAATCTTGCACAAACTCTTCCCGAGAACAGAAAAACAGAGTATACTTCCCAACTCTACGTGGCCAACATAACCCTGATAGGAAATTGGACTAGAATCTTACAAGAAGGAAAAATCACTGGCCAGTCACTCACGTTGTGATATAATAAAAATAAATATTTGGCCTTTGCCCAGGTTCCTGGCACACAGCTCTGAACCCCTTGGGATCTCAGGGTAACGCGAGTGTCTCTTGTATGCTGATGAGGTGGCTGGTGCCTGGAGGCCCTTCGGGCTGGTCACCAGAAAGAAAGAGGCTTGATTAGAGGATTGAAACTTCCAGCCCAGCCCCCTAAACCATAGGGAGGGAAGAGGGGTGGAGATTGAGCTAATCACCGATGGCCAATGATTCAATCCATCGTGTCTACATAATGAAACCTCCATAAAAACTCCTAAACGACAGGGTTCAGAGTGCTTCTGGGTTGGTGAGCACATCAAGGTACCAGCAGGGTGACTTGCCCGGAGACAGCTGGAGGCTCCAAGCATTACCTCACCCCCATATCTTGCTCTATGCCTCTCTTCCATTTGCCTATTACAGAACGCTGTCATTTACAATAAACCGGTAGCAGTAAGTAAAGCACTTCCCTGAGTTCCGTGAGTCGTTTAATGAAATATCTAAACTTGATGGGTGGGGTGGGGGGCGGGCATGTGGAAGCCCCCAGTTTACGGCCAGTTGATCAGAAGTACTGGCGACCTGAGCCTGGGACTGGTGTCTGAAGTGGGGGTGGTGTTGTGGGACTGAGCCCCCTACACCTAACTCCAGGTAATTAGTATTTCAGACAAAAAAAAGTGGCCGGCCATTTCAGCAAGCAAAGAATGGTGCCCGCGGCCAAGTCGTCAGCCACTGCGGCACTGCGGCCACCCTGGTGTTTTGCCCTGAGGGGAACACCGGATACAGAAAAACAGGCTACTGGTCCCAGAGGGTTAAGATGCAGATCTACGGAATTTCAAAGAGCCCAGACCCTCGCATCTTCCCATACATAGAAAAGGACTAAAATCATTTGCTTGAGGCGTCTGTTTTTTGTGATTAGCAGTAATCTTTTGACATTCGACTACACAATTTTTTTTTCAGCAAAAACTCCTCTATATCCTGACTCTTTCCTTGCCTCTTTGGAATGTTCTCCAGAGCTATGTGAGAGGCTGTCTCCCAGGCCATAGTCCTCAGTAAGGTCCCGGAATAAAACATAACTCCCAACTTTTAGGTTGTGCGTTTTTTCCTTTCAGTCGACAGTGTCCAAATTGAGTGGAATCGTTAGACACCCAGTTGGTGTCAGAGAATTAGAGAACTGGTTGGTGTCAGGAGGGGGAAAAAACCTCACTTGTGAATATTAGATGCAAAATCCTAAATAAATTACTAGCAAATAAAACCAGGCATCCAGCTAGGGTTTATTTCAGGAATGCAAGTGATGCGATATACCAAAGTCAAGGTAAGTCATCACGTTAGTAGGAAAGAATCGTGAACCATGCTGGGCACACCTGAAAGTGACGACCTCAGGGAACGTGGTTTCAGGAAGTAAGATCAGATGCATCTTTCCTTCCTCCCTCTGAGTCCTACCCCTCCAGTCTGAGTTAATTTGTAGGAGAAAACTGCAGTCTGTTCCAGGCCTGGCCTGGCCTGAGCTACAGGCTGTATCACCTGTTAAGTCACAAGAACCCCTGATTACAGGACCCTCTGGCTTTGCATTTTGAGCCCCATCTCTGGTTCTGCATGTCTTTTACTGATGCTTCAATCTGCAAGACAAAACAGAAGGAGGCTAGCAAGCTGGTACTGTTGAACAATTAATTATTGTACCAGGTGCTCTGGCAGGTCCTAGAAAAACAAATATCAGTCAAGGTCCTGGAAGATTAAGTAACTCATCAAAAGTCCCACCGCTGATACATGGCAGGGCTGAGATATGAACGCAGTCAGTCTGGTTCCCGAATTCATAGTCTTATTTATTCTGTGTCACTAACTCTACGTGTGGATCACTAAGCATAATACTAAGCTTTAAGTGTCAAATTGACATAAGTTACACATGCTGTGAAAGTGTAAAGGAAAGAGATTAATTTGACTGGGGGTAGGTTGGTTTAGAAGAGCTTTAAAGAAAGAAGCAGCATTTAAACTGGAACTTAGAAGACGACAATTTTAACCAGCAGTGAATGAAGGTGTGTTAGTCAGGACAGACGGGGTTATGCTGCAGTAACAAAGGTTTAACACAACAAAGATTTGTTTCTCTTATGCAAATGCTAATTCATTGTCCTGGCAATGTCCAGGGCACTCCCTCAATGCCATGACTC